ATTTTAATAAAATTTCATAATATGACTGTTTTTACGATATTTTTGATCAAATATATGAAGCCTTGGTGAGAAAATTAAAAAACAATAAAAATCTTAACAACCCCATACTTTTGAATGGTAGTGTAGCAAACTACACAATAGCAAAATCTAGTCAGCCTGAGGGAACCCTGCACACAGTGTGAAATCCCCCTACCCCTACTAAGGCATGCAGCATGCAATTGTAAGTCGCTTTGGATAAAAGCGTCTGCTAAATGACTAAATGTAAATGTAATGTAATATGCCGGGACTACTTTCGAGTGTCTTGAATCTCTCCGCCGTCTCACCCTCTCTCTCTCTCTCTGCTCATACAATCACAAATTAAAATAATTAATAAGGCTTTATCTTTCGACTTGTAACGGTTAATAACTTTGTTACATTGGCTTCGGAGTACTCAAGTATTACTTTTACAGTGAACAAAACTTTTGATAACAAGATGCTCAGGGGTCCCCACAGAACCATGAACCGGTAGGACACAAGAAGATCGATGAGAGAGACTTTAAGATAAGGAATTTTCGGAATGACTCGCTACTCTTTATAGGCTTTATTCATAATAATATATAAATTCGTATTTTAATAGCCTATTTATTAGCCTATAATAGCCTAAATATTCTTGCTAAATTAATAGTTTTCTACATATTTGGGCTATTTTTCTTTGCGGATCTTAATCTACAAGTAACAAAATAATTCAACTAAAGTCATTTCCATTTCCCGTGTATTTATTTACTAAATAGCACGTAATAAGCTAGATAATGTACACTGTCTCAAAATAAACCACTTCAGGATGATAATGACCGACTGACCGTAGAATTCTCTATTCATAATTTCACATTTAATTAACATTATTTCTGCTATATTTATTTGGCAAAATCCATTTATGCGTTTGTAAGGCACCCTTTCGTATCACCCAAAAATATGTTCAAGGTAGGCAGCTCACTAGGTTTTGAGACACAACAGGCTTCTGAAAATCAGACATACATTGTATGAATCTCCAACATAACCAACTGACCAACAGCAAATGTAACTGACAACTTGAATCAGACTGCGTTTTATGATGCTTGTCATTTGGCTGATATAGCCTAGTTTATTTTTTAAAATGACCATAACCACTTACCATTTTGGATTGGTAAAATGCATCCTGCACTTGAATATCGAGTCCTCCTGTGCGCTTTCAGCCGTATTCACGTTCTTATAAATAAACTCCACATGGGAATTTTATTTACATACTTCAAAGAGTCACAGCAAAGGGACCTAAACTGCAGTCATTCATCATAAGACATCTGTCAGTCAAATCTAAAAGGTCTTCACTGACAAACACAGCTGTCCTTTACTGGAAATAATGTCAGAAGATGTTTCGTGAAGTCAGATTTATCGTGTGTGTTTGCCCTGGATGAGCAGAAGTATGCCAAATCCCTCCACTTCAGCTACAAGACTCCGCAGACGCAACAATCATCTCCAGCCGGATTCATCCACAGCAAGCGCAGTGTTCATTGTAAACGCTATTTCATATCCTGCTGCTATGTGACGCTCATCGTTGATCCACGCTGATCCACGAGCATCCCGCATCTCGTGCCATCCACACTGTTTTCTGCAGTTAATGTGCCCTTTTAAATCGTTTTGTCCACATAATGCTGGATAGCGGCATAGCGCCTCGGCTGAGACTGATGGAAAACACGGAGTGGATGCAGCATGTGGAGCAGGTGTGTGGGATTAAAGAACTGCTCACGCGTACGCCACTTAACTCTGTTCACCTACATGGACGATACCAAAACGTCATAATATACTCGTATTCATGCAAAGTAGACAGAATTACTTATAGACTTCATATTGGCAGCGGCTATTTGTACTAAATGTACTGTTACTTTAACTTAGTGTAAATAGAATCCATTGCACTAAGTACAAATAGTAATGGATTCTATTTACACGAAAGAAACAGTATTTTCTTAGCCATGCTATTTACACTAAGTGCAAATAGCGATAGAGTCTATTTACACTGTGTAAAAACAGCAGTATTTTCTTTGCAATAGGCCTAATATTAGTTAGATATTAAGTATAAAGTATTAAGTAGCCTATTAAGACACTTAAAGGGGCCATGACATGAGAGATCAAATTTACCTTGATCTTTTGGCATATAGGAGATCATTAAAACATCCTGCAAGTTTCATAGTTTAAAACGTCCTCCTCATTATGAACAAAGCATTCATTTAATCAAGCTCCAAAAATGGCTTGTTTTGGATCTGATGGGCAAGGTGACGTCACCTGGGCACAAACATTTGCATAAACACTGCCTCCAGAGCGACGAATAGTTATCTTCTCACCATATAAGTGCACCCCCCCACCAAGTATATTTTTCTTAAAGAAAAAACAATCATGTTGCTTCAAATCGGGATTTATTGCTTCACTGAAACAGGAATGGAGAAAATTTGCAGGATCTCCAAGCTGCTTTCTTCCATACAGAGAATATGAAAGAGAACTGTGACCACTGACCTCCAAAAAAAAGGACACCTCTAACAAAATCTTCTGAATCCATACAATAGCTTGGTGTGTTGAATAGCCTGAAATTTAAAACAATAGATCTCATTCACTAACCATGCATATGCACAAATTTGTGTATAAAATCAGCATACAAACATTTTCAAGAACAAAATATGACTCATCCATAACTTTAGTCCCTATTTTTTCCCCTAAATTTACAACAACAAAAAAAAACATTATATATATAAGAAGACACATGCAAAAATCACATACTCTTGGAGGCTTAAATGTGATTAAATATTTCATGTTCAATAAATTTCAGCCTACAGTGATGTGTTATACCCTGAGCTGTGGTCATTTCTCTGCATGACTCTCTGAATTCTCTGAATTCATTAACATTAGAACCAGGTTAAAAAAGTTTAAAACTTAGGCCAAAAAAAAAAGTGAGAAGTTCTTCTGTGTGTATAAATAAGAAATAATCCATTCAATTATTAATGAATGAGACCCATTATGCCTAAATCTATAGATTTCTGATTTGCACTCCACATCAAATTTGACGTCAATGGCATCAAATGCTGTTGCATCTTGTGAATATTATTAAACCATGTGCAATGTGTATCTTGACGCATCATGATTAAATATATGCAAACATGAATGAAAACTGAGAGCTGTGAGGGTGAGTAAATGATGACCAGTATTGCAAGGCTATCTATTTTTGCTTAATTTGATAAACCAAGTCACTTACTAAAGACTTGCTTTTTTTTTCAGACCTGGTCGTTCATTTCTTTTTCAAGATTTGGCAAGATTGATGATGACTGAATTTTCATTTTTGGATAAACTATTCCTTTAGAACATGTTTAGGCAAGCATGCTTTATTTATGGCACAGCAGGGATCGTTTTATTCACAGAGGACGAGTTTTGCATTTTGAAGTCTTACAGGCATGTTCTAGAAGCATCACATCTGATCATCTCCGTTTTTTAATATCCATTTTGCACCTCACTCATAAGCATTGCATTACACCGTAAGCCAAAGATATCAAGATACAGTACTTCAGTACCACTGAAATCTGACCCTAATTCTAAACCTAAAGTAACCAGGAGACCATTTTTATGATTCATCCATTTACAGGTATTCACTTCTATGAAATTTATAAGGTTTATTTGAAGCTGTCACCTTCAATGTACATTAATAATTGCTATATGGGTTGTTCAGTGGCTTTCCTCTCTGTTGCACCTTTAAATTCCACAAGTTTAGGAGGAAATAGGTCACCCAGATAGCCCAAGGAACTGATGTGCCTGGCCGCATAGCGGTAACTTGGTAGATCTAGCCACACTCACATTATTCCCTCTCTGCATGTCGAGTCCTGGCACAATTGCATCATGTGACCCTTGGTTCTTCTAAAGGACTGACATTCTTGTTCTTGATTACTTGATAAACAGGAAGTGGCATAATGAGGTTGAATACTGAATACAAAGATGAAAGTAAGAATGGGAGGAACCAAATACATCATTAAATTGCACTAAATATAATTCAGGGAGCCACACCCATAACAACATCCTCTGACTCAGGCCGGTTGATTGCGGCATTATGGAATCAACAGTTTTGATGAGAACATTGTGTCTTATATGTTCTAATAAAGCAGACTCAAGCCAAATACAGCTCTAGTTAACTTGAAATCAAAACTGATTATATTTACATTTGTTGTACATTTCTGATCGTATTGTAAACGATTCATCAGCGTACATTATTCTAATTAAGAATTTATTCCCTCATTCGAGGTAAATCATGGTTAAATTGTACTACTTTGTTCCTGTTCAGGAAGGCTATGATTTTAACAAAATTAAAAGTACAACATCTGTGCCTTGTTTAAAAACTGCGCCTTGGTTACAAACATTAAAATGCAACACTAAATCGCTCATGCACGATTCGCTGAAAAAGTGCCAAAATACATATAAAGTATAAAGTTTTAAATCACAATTAAAAGCAGTGCGTGTATCACGTTATTCTCTGCGATGTAGTCTTTTGCTGCTGAATCATTTTGGTGGACTGTTTGTGGGGTTTAACGATCATGAGCTCAGCTGTGTGGATCTGAATGACGTTATCGCGCCATCAATATATAGAGCTCTTGAAGGAGAGGGAAGGGGATGGGATTGAGAGGCAGGTGTTCATTTGTAAATAGTGAGTTTTTCCCTCCTCTGGGACTGTCTCAAATGAGGTCAGCAGCAAATTGGTCGTGAAATTGGCCAGTGGTTTGTGAGAATGAGTTGCTGATAGCTGCTAGGCCTACTTTCTTCTCAGAGTAGTTGAAGTTCACAGAGGTACGTGTTGAAAACAAAGCAGCAGATGGGTTGGTAGAGAAAAGATGAGATACAGAGTAGCTTATGGAGGAATGAAAAAGCCTGAAAAAAGAGTCCTGATCTTTTTTTTTTTTTTGAAGTGCAGGAAACCTATATGAGATTTCCATTTACCATTTTTATTTCTGTGTTCAATAACATGACATATAAAACAACAAAAAGAAAATTCTGCCTTGCTATAGGATTGCTACCAAAATAAATCATTTATTATTTATTTGATCATATATAATTCTTACTGTTGTTGTATTTTGTATTTTGACCTGGTTTTAACAATTAATGAAGCATTGCGGATTTCATTAACCTTGAAATTATATTTAGTTGAGAATATTAAATTAAGTTAGCCATTTTATATAACGTTTCACAGTTACTCGTGTAATTCGTCAGATTATTTAGGCTAATAATATCTAAAAGACAAAGGAATCATGCAATCAGGGTGTTAAAATAAACAAAAAAAACCTCACCTTTCAGTTCACGGACAACTCCACTGACCAATAGCCACTGCACAAAACAAATCCCAGCCGGGTCCGTCACTTTTTTGGGTCCCCTTGAAACATTTCCTTTGTGGTCCGTGCTACTTGCAGCGCGTTTCTTCATTTGCATGTGTTGTGAGGATTTGCAGCGCGTGTGTTGTCAAACTGATGAAGATGTTTTCTTAATTTGCTGGTGTTTTTTCAATTTGCATGTGTTTTCTTAAATTACAGCGCGTTGAGCTCTCTCGGCCACCGTATAATAGGCTATATTTAACTGTGTTGTAGAAGCAAGTATTTCAGTGCATTTCTTCCACAGCCTCACATTCACACTTATGTCCTAGAGATTGTGATGTTTGTGTCTAAAGTTTGTTCCGGTCTCTCTGACTCTGCCAGCTTGTCTGTCACAACAGCCTAAATATGTACAATAATAAGCTGTCAGGACCTGTCTGGAAACAGCTTCAGAATCTGTGTGTCTAATTTAGTATGCCAAGCATGCATCTCCTTCAACCATTTGTAGAGTTACTCCATAAATTGCCAGCGAATTCAGATTGCTTGCCATAATACTCAAGGTAATAGTCTATTATTGTGCGCTGTGAAATCTTAATGTGATCGTAGAAAGTATTATAATCCTTTTTATTATTCACAGATGTTGTGTTTTGCCCCAGTTTCAGTGTATGTAGCTATAGCTTTCCGAAACTGAATTCAGCCTCCAAGATTTAAAGGCACAATATGAAATTTTCGCGTGTTCAAAATAAACAGAGACAAAGGAGTAGTTTGATGACGCTGTGACTGAGTGTGGAATCATGGAAGTTGTCGTCTTCATCCCCACAGCCGATGCAATCCGACGGGACTCGGGCAGAAATCATGTTCATGGATGAGCTAATGATTTATTAACGTAGTAGAATGAAGCAGGGTGAGGCTGAAAGCCGTCGAAGCGAAACGAGGCTGCTGAACGAGCGTGACACACGGCTCGAAAGCAGCGGCACTTTTATTATGCCACAGGGGACCGCTTCCGCTCCTTCCGGT